GCCGAACCCCGTCTTCGCTGTCGGCGAGAAGGTAGCGTACCACCTCTTCTCTCTCCGAAACGTTGAAATTCTTGCGTTTGAGCCCCTGGGAGGCACTCCCAGCAGCAGACATGTCCCGCCAGCAGACGGGAAGGCGTTTGACCGGGGCTCCAAAGTTGGGGTGGTGAAATCGGGCGTGTTGTGCTGGGGTGCAACACACTTTGTTGAGGTGGTGTGAAAAGAGCAGCGGTTCTGCGCGCTGCGCGCCAGTGCGGCGGAACCAGAAAAAAAAACCGTTCGGAAAAAGAGTTCGGCAGACACGAGTTCTATTGCTTTTTGTCCAAACCTTGCTTATATTCTCGGACAGAGGGTATATGTTGCGACAGACGTATCTCCACAAAAAATCAGATCATGAAACGCTTCAGAACGCACGAAAGCAGCTACAAAGCTAAAGTGTTCGTTAATTGGGGGGGGGGGGTGTTTTCCTGCATTTTCAGCTAAACAATGGAATGCACTGCATCAGCTCTATCTCGTTGACACTTTTTTAGGGAGGTAGCCTATAATACAAGCTATCGTCCGGTACCCACAAATACATCATACTCCTCTTCATGCCCGAGAACGAGCTGTTGGCGCGAGGGGTGGCTTAAGCGTTCGTTAATTGGCCGGTTTACTCTAGAGAGGTACACAAACCTTACACATGTACTCTCAACGAACCACAGCAACAAGGAGCCAGGGTTCATAGACTATGTGTGAACGGTATGTTCCAGCAGGCCAACATGACGCAACTCAAGTGCATAGCTCGGGGAGTGATTATTGCTCTATCGGTGTCATATCCAACGGCGCTACCCCGCTACCCGCCGTACACAGGTCTGGCTTCTGGATCTTCTGAATCCCCCTGACTACAGGCGATCTACGTACATGTACACCTGCTTGAGTCAGTCACAGCTAAAGTGTTTTTTGACGCACAGCCAGCAGTTGGACGTGGACAGACAGGTTGCCGGCTGCAAAAAAAAAAACTTCTCCCTCTCGATCCCTCGCTCTCTCTCTTGTCTCTCTCTCTCTCTCCCCTCGTCACTGCTGCTGTCTCTGCTTCTGGGTACACACGCACCACAGCACGCTACATGCCCACACCCGTCAATTGGGAAAGCAGTCGCATGTGAAGCATCCTACAAACCACTGCTGTGAGTTTCAATCGAGATGGGTTCTGAAGTTGGCGCGGAGAGTTGTGGTCGGGTCGTGCTCCTTGGCCCGACAGACAAGCAACTATTTGTGTGTTGGGCTTCTCGGCGCTTGGCGGTTGCGTCTTTCGAAGCAACGGTATGGGCGTGATGGGGCCGTGCGGGAGCGTACCGCTCGCTGTGTGAGTGGCCATGGATGAGATTCTTCATGACCACATCGTTGCGACTGCAAGAAAGCAACAGGCTAGCCACGAGCCATGATGGTGAACTTTGTGTGGTTTTTTTTATTGCCATTTCTGGTGTTCTTAATCTGGCTACCGCACTTGCTGCACTCAGTCGTCGACTCGTCGAAGGCCACACATACGTTTGGTGCCCTCGCCCCCACATAGCTGCGCACCCCAACCATGAGCTAAGCACGGCGGTATGTTTACAGGCAACGTGCGTGCCAGCGTTGTACTCGCCGCCTCCGCTCACCAGGGTTGTGCGGCTCTGGCTTGTTTTGTCTGAGGCTGTACCACCACTTTGCCGGTGGTTGTGTGACAACGGCAGGAAGGAGAGCTGAAAAGATTCAGATGCGCGAGGGGAGTGGTCCGAAGAACGCACGCAGTAGATAGCAAGCTTTTGGAGGAGGAGGGTGCGCCGACGACAACAACAGCAGTCATGGGGAAGGCGGACATCGTATCGCCGTCGTCTGACCTGCTGGACGCGTACAACAAGGGCCGCTCGATCGCCACCAGCCACTTCGCCGGGGCGGCAGAGCTGTTCCTGGGCGCTGGCGCGGTAGCGGGACAAAACACCAAGGAGCACCCGGGCAGCAGCAGCAGTTGCAGCAGCGAGGCCGTGAGTAGGGCGTGCCCCGCTGATCTCCACAGCGCAGTGAGGCGAGGCGAGGCGGGCGCCGTGTCCAAGCTCTTGAGCGAGGGAGCGGACGCGGCGTCTCTCGACGGCAGCGGCAGGTCCGCGCTGCTCCTTGCTACCCAGGAAGGGCACCTGCCCGTAGTGCGCGTCCTGCTGGACGGCGGCGCCGGAGACGCGGCCTGCATACCACCCAACGGCCCCAACGGAATGAGCGCACTGGTGAAGGCGGCCGTTCGCAAGGAACACCTGGGGATACTGCGGGCCCTGATCGCCCGCGGGGCGGACCTGGAAGCCACCGACAGCGGCGGTGCGACCGCCCTGCAGCACGCGGCGATGCTGGGCAAGACCGAGTCCATCGACGTCCTCGTGGAGCACGGGGCCAGCGTCGACTCGGTCGACGTCGATGGGATGTCGGCGCTCCACTGGGCGAGCATCGAGGGCCACGGCGAGGCTATCGTCGCGCTCCTGAGGCACGGGGCGGACATCGACGCCGCCGACAGTGCGGGCCGCACGCCGCTCCACCGGGCTTGCGCCGTAGACGACGTCCACACCACCGAGGCCGCGGAGCTGCTGCTCCTCTGGGGAGCGGACGACACGGTGGTCGACAACGAGGGCCATACCCCGGAGCACTACGCCAAGGCGCGGCGCAGCGGGCAGGGCGGCGGGGGAGCCAAGCAACGCGCGCAGGAGTCTCTGCTGCAGCTGCTGGGGACGACCTCGTCCGACAGGGCGTGGTGTCGGCACGGGCTGGTCATCCTGTGCAAGGCTCGGCTCGGGTACGGGGCTGTGGGCACGGTCTTGGACAGGCTCGTGACGCTGGAGGAGGAGGAGCTCTTCGAGAAGTCGTGGGCGGCAGAGGCAGACGACGACGGCGGCGACGACGATGAAAAAAAGCAACAAGAACGAAAGAGGAGAGACTCGCCGCCGCCGGTGCAGCAAAAGGGGGGGGAGCCGATCCGAAAGGAGGAGGAGCCGTCAAAGCGCGGCCGGAGAGCGGAGGAACAGGCCCGAAGCTCGCAGAAGGAGGAAGACCCGCAGGCATCGGTTGGGCCGAAGCAGCTAAAGAGACTGGACAACACGTGGATAAAGCCTCAACGGACAGAACAAGCGCCGCAGATGACAAGGGTTGAACCGCTAAAGAGGAAAGGAAAGGCGCAACAAGATAGTAAGTGGATCAAGCCCCAACGGACGGAACAAGCGCCGCAGATAATGGTGGAACCGCGAAAGAGGGAGGAAGAGGAGAAACGGGGACACTGGAAAGCCTCGCCTCCGGAAGGAGTGAGGCGCGGAACGAAGCAGAACAGAGGCGAGCAGCCCGGCTCGCGGGAGTTTTCTCGATTGTACGCGCTTGGCAAGAAGCTCGGGGAGGGCGCGTTCGCGGAGACATTCGGAGCGATCCGACGAGGGCAGCGGAAGGGGTCGCAGGAGTCGTGTATCGTCAAGCGGGCTGTGCAACGGGGGGTGTCGCACGAGGTTAAGCACGGCTTGGTTGAGGAGGTGAGTCCACGAGAAGCTTTGATTTTATATATTACGATGATTTAAAACTGATGTAATGCATGTGCACTTCGAACCTTGCCAAAGCTTGTCCGTGGTATCGTCCTGGTTATTCTGGACGTCAATGTTACACATTGCGTTCGGTACATGCGTTTTCTGGACGAATCAGCTGTAGGGAGCCAGGATCACACAGGAGCAAGGCCACCGCCTGAAGGCCACGCAGCAGCAGCAGTGCATTTGGAGCTGTCCTTTTGTTTCTTCTGTGGTGCGTTGTGTTTCCTCCTTGCTGGCTGTAGTTGGCTATCGTGGGAAATGCCGTTTTGCGTGCCTGCTTCAGATGGTAAGGCATACTCCTCCAGCTTGATACGTTGAATCGGTTTGCATGGGTGCAAGGCAAGAAACCCAAGCCCACATCTTCGCCCCAAGCTCACGGGTATAGCCGAAGTATTCTCGCCGATGTCGGGACCATGTTTGTTTGCCGTTTTTCCGTTCCCATTCCGTGGTTGGTTGTTCGCTCGGAAGGCCCGGATACTACGCCTGCTGACGCACCCGAGCGTGGTTACCGTGCAAGAGGTCTTCAGCGACTCGCCCGATTACTTTTACTTGGTGTTGGAGCATCTGGCAGGCGGTCCAGTGTTTGACCGCATCGTGACGAAGGTGGGTAAAGCTATCATATGTAGCTTTTGTGCAACATGTCGGTGTCGGTGCGGGGTCGGTTGCGACACCGCCCCCTCAGCCTCCACTTTGTGAGAAAAGAATATGCTTCCGATCAGTCCGACGAGAAAGGGCCAATTCAACCCGGTACATGGCAAGTAGGTGGTGCAAGACCAATTCCCCAACCCCAGCTCTTTCTCTCTCTTCCAGTAGCAATACAATCACGCGGCCTCAATCGCATGCTCATGGAGCTTCCTTACTTCGTGTGCCCATCCTGTTGTGCTCACGCTTGACCTTCCTTGTTCCGGGCGCCTCCATTGTTTCTCTTGCCCTCTATCCAGTTTTGCGGCTGACCTCTTCTCTCGTCATCGATTCTGCCCTCGTCCTTTTGCTGCTGGCTTTCAATTTTTTCACGCAGACCCGCTTCCGCGAGAGCGACGCGAGGCATCTGTGCCGCACCCTGGTCCTCTGTGTCCAGCACTGCCACGACATGGGCGTCGTGCACCGCGACCTTCGCCCCGAGCAGCTGCTGCTGACGTCCCGGGACGAAGACGCCACCATTAAGCTGACGGGCTTCGATTTCGCGCGGAGCTTGCCGCGGGAAGGCTCTGACGGGAGGAGGAGGGGAAAGAGGGGGCTGCTGGTTGCAGAGTCTTACGTGACGGCGGAGTACGCCGCGCCGGAAGTGCTGAGCAGTGTACCGCATGGAACGGTGGGTTTTAGTAGAGAATGGAAGGCCGTGTTTGGTCCGTGAGGAGTGAACAAACCCAACCTTTGAGCATGTGTGAGCGGAAGCGGAAGCGGAACAGTGGATGACCGAATCATGCAAGCTGTTTCGTGCAGATTTCGCCCCAAGTTTTCAGCCCTCAGTGCGCTTGCCCGCATCCTTCTTTCACGTTGCCGTCCGTACCGTTGGGGGGTGGGGGGGTGGGGGGGGGTTAACCGTACACCGGCCTTAGTCCCCGGGGCGGATGGAGGAGACTCTCTTTACCGACCATGTTGTATCTATGTTGTGGTTGCACACTTTCCTTTCCCCCCCCCAAACCCGCCCCCCCCGGTGTTTGCCATCGGGGTTGGGTTTTCGTCGCTTGGCAACGACGTTGTAAAACAAGCCGCCCCCCCCCGGTGTTTGCCATCGGGGTTGGGTTTTCGTCGCTTGGCAACGACGTTGTAAAACAAGCCGCCCCCCCCCGGTGTTTGCCATCGGGATTGGGTTTTCGTCGCTTGGCAACGACGTTGTAAAACAAGCCAATTCACTTCGTGAACTCGGCAACCAGGTTACCGTTTTTTTTTTTTTCCTCCGTTTTTTTTTTTTGGCGGTAACCATAATGGTGGTCGAGTAGATCATGTTGTGCGGGGTGGAGAACCCTCACTCCGCGCAAGGGGGATGATCGCACCACGTTGTGTTAAAATGGTCAAGCACCCTCGAGGCAGTTACACAGTGCTTACAACTGTCTCTGGAAGTGAAAGCACCAGAAAATAAATTAATTCATACGCAGCTGTCATCCGTACGCAAGGAAGTAAGCACAAGATGCCGAACACCCTTAGCAGGATGCAGCGCACCCTTCATGCGACTCGCCGAATATCTCACGGCGCTTCGCGCTTGGTGATGTGAGAGCCTGGTCCGGTGAGAACCCGGCGTGCTCCGTCCCGGCTTTGTAGGGATGCGAGGTCAATGGTCTAACGACTACGGCATGCACGACTATGAGTACACCCCCACCCCGCTCTGAAAACGCGGACCAAACATACTTTATTTCTGCTATAGGTGAAGTCTAGTTTAAGAGCATACGGCACTCTTCTTGGTTTTTGAGATTGATGCGCGAGTAGAGGTGGCCATCGCGGGTGCGAAGGGGCAAGGTTTCCGGTTTCTGCCGTCGTGTTACCTTTGGATTGATCCTCATGAATGCTGCGGAGGCCTGGCATCACGGCGTCCAACCAGGGGGCCGAGGTATATACGGTGCCTCATGGGCGAGTTTTTGAACGAACCCCCCGGGGGGAGATCGGAGGTTGCGTGCCTGCTTTTGTTGGTCAACGGTGTTGTTCCTTGCAGAGCGAGATGACAGCAGTGCATGCGGCAGTTTCTCTCGTGGTTGTGCCGTGCACCTGTTTTTCGTGCAAGACTGACCGAATGCTGATGCAAAAGACCTCCCTTCTCTATGCGGTATTGTTCTTTGTAGCGAGAGCCCCGAGGCAATCGATCGATTAGTCACCGCGGATGCTGTTCAGTGCCGGGTCTTTACGAGGTCTAGTATTCTGAGCGATGTTGCCCGCATATGGCATGGTCCGAGTGAGGGAGACTGTGTAATGGCCGAACTCGCCATTCAGGCTGGGCGCTCTCTTTCTGTATCTCATATTGGAGGGAGGGGGCGTTTTCACGCATCTCTTGTGAACTTGCCATCTTTGTCCGTCGCATGCTGCTAACCCGGCTTTGCCGTGATTGACGTGTTTTTGTTGCCGCTGTGCAGGCTGTGGACATGTGGAGCATGGGTGTTATCTTATACACCTTGCTCGGGGGCTATCACCCGTTCCACGACGAGAGGCAACCACGGCTTTTCCGGAGGATACGGGATGGGAGCTTCGTTTTCCACGACGAGTTGTGGAGCAACACGTCGGACCAAGCCAAGGTAATGAAAATATTTGCTAACGGGTTCTTCGTTTTTTTCTAAGTCGATGCCGGGTTTGCGTGTGTTGTGCCTGTTGGCGCGTTCACCTCTCATTCTCTCGACCGTGAGCGCAAGGTCAAGAGGCTGTTGCGTGCTTCCGTGCTCTTCAACCTTGCTGATAATGTCGCATTTGAACCTTTGCATTGGTCTTCTCGCCTGCAGGACTTCGTCCGCAGGCTGTTGGTGGTGGACGCGACAGAGAGGATGACCGCTAAGCAGGCGCTGCAGCACCCCTGGATGCTCCGGTCGGAGAAGGACCTCGCCAAGAACGACCTCAGCTTCAACCAGGAGCAGCTCCGAGTCTTCAACGCAACGGCCAAGCTGCGTGCCGCAATCAAGTCGGTAAGAGACTTTCGGTGGCATGGAGAAGGGAGGGCAGGGGTTTACTTATAGCCGTGCATGCCGTAGTCGTTAGAGCATTGACCTCGCAACCCTACAAAGCCGGGACGGAGGGGGGGAGCATGAGCGCATTTGATAGCGTTGCGTTGGCTTATACTCCGCCGCGAAAAACACAAAGACAATGCCGGCCGCGGCTATGTGTGTGTGTGTGTGTGTGTTTTCGTCCTTTTTATTTATTTCTTATGGCGACAGTCCCCCCATTTTTCGTGGTGAGACGTGTACTACACTTTTCAGCGTATGTAGAGTACTACACTTTTCAGTGTATTTTTTCGTACAACTACAACCATCCAGGTTCACACAGGAGGAGGTAAACACCAGGGCTTTTTTTCTTCTTTTTATTTCTTTTCATGCCCCACCTTCCTCCTGTACAACCATCCAGGTTCACACAGGAGGGGGTAAACACCAGGGCTGTTTTTCTTCTTTTTATTTCTTTTCATGCCCCACCTTCCTCCTGTACAACCATCCAGGTTCACACAGGAGGGGGTAAACACCAGGGCTGTTTTTCTTCTTTTTATTTCTTTTCATGCCCCACCTTCCTCCTGTACAACCATCCAGGTTCACACAGGAGGGGGTAAACACCAGGGCTGTTTTTCTTCTTTTTATTTCTTTTCATGCCCCACCTTCCTCCTGTACAACCATCCAGGTTCACACAGGAGGGGGTAAACACCAGGGCTGTTTTTCTTCTTTTTATTTCTTTTCATGCCCCACCTTCCTCCTGTACAACCATCCAGGTTCACACAGGAGGGGGTAAACACCAGGGCTGTTTTTCTTCTTTTTATTTCTTTTCATGCCCCACCTTCCTCCTGTACAACCATCCAGGTTCACACAGGAGGGGGTAAACACCAGGGCTGTTTTTCTTCTTTTTATTTCTTTTCATGCCCCACCTTCCTCCTGCGGTGTGTGCTGAATTTTATTTCTATCGCGAGAAGGGTCCAGCCGTCCCTTTCCCTCGTCAACGGTGCTAACGTCGAAAGTTGGTACTCTCGAGAGCTTGTCAGCTATGTTTCGCTTTCACCCGCACATTTCGTAATTTTTTCACCCCATGGGGATTCGAACTCACCTCCTCTGCAACTAGCGAATCACGAGGATACCACTAAATAGACCACCGGGGCTATATTAGAACCCAAATCACCGGCGAACGCAAGCGCGGCTTTTCGGATCCCTGCCAGATGTTGGCAGCACGCGCCTCAGCCACCAGCAAGTGAAGTCCAAGCTACCACCCTGCTCCGTTGTACAGGACGTACAGCACAGGAGACATGGTGCCATTGCGTCTTTTCCAAATTCGTCTTCGTTGGCAGTAATGCATGCCTTCGCTCCTATGTTCCTGCCCTGTGTACTCCTCGGTTTACGTTCGTTGTGTGGTCCCCCCCCTCCCTCCGCGGGCATATTCAGGTGACGACAAGGAGAGGGTTGAGCTCGTGACCAGTGAGGAAGCTAATGAAGCATTGGACGAATTCCAGAAAGCACGGCCTCGAGTGTTTGGACTTGCTCCGGATCTCTGTTTTCCACACTGCTGCTGGGTCCCGCCAGGCGTGTCGATGCATTGCCGCAAGGGGAGCTGCGGGTGCGTAGGTTTCATCAGGGTTAGTTTTGTTTTGGAGGGTGGAGGAAAGGGGGGATGATATTTGCATCCATTGTAGGATATGTATCTGTGCAATTCCTAAGTATTTGAGAGTGGGGGCGGTGCGAACCGAAGCAGGCCATCGAGTCAGACAACTCTCTTCTTGGCGGGTAATCCTATATTTTATCGCCCCGACAACCCTGCGAAAAATCTTGCTCGCCCGCCGTTGTAGACGAATATTCGATGCGGAGCAAGTTAGAATACTGCGTGTTCGTGGGTCACTCGAAGCGGGTTGTACATGTGGACGGCAGCCGTCGGGCGTTCCGTTTTTCTGCATCTGTCAGGTGACCTAGCTTTGGCTTTGTTGCCGCCAGGACACCTCTAGAACTAGCCTGAGTAGTGTTTCATATTGGCGGCGCGGGTTGTGCGATATTATTAAGAGTCCTCTGCGCTGGCAACCTTTTGGTGTCGTTTGCTGGAGGAGCGAGAAGGGGTTAGAAACAAGTATTTAGCTTGATAGTAGAGACTTGGTTATCGCATGTCTTGAAGTATTCTGGAAGATATCGACGTGCCATTGTTATGCACACTCCCTTGCGTAAAGGGGTGCAAGCGAGGGGATGCCAACAGCTATTTTGCTCCGTTTGCCACCCTGTGTACTTGCGTGCGTCTGCGCTGTATCTTGACTTCGAACTCGTGTAAATGTTCTTGTTTTGGGCATATCTGCATTTTGACACGCTTGGAGCGTTGTTTCTTCGGTATATACGGGCTTTGACGACGGGAAAGAGTGGTAGAGTTTTTTTTTGCACCACGGTGTTGTAAGTTTTCATGTGTTGTGGGATAGGTTGAGGCGAATACTGCGGTGCGATTGGAAAAACTTGTGTTACCGTGTACCGTAGACAGTAGACAGCATTTTTTCTTTTTGAGGATAACCATGTCCTCGCTGTAATATTAGCCCACCGTTTGTCTGCAGTGCAGATAGTAATCTAAAATGATTATGGTGTTCCACCATGACGGCGACAGCATTTGGTGAGAGAGCGGGAGGGGAGCAGGGATTCCGAGTGCATATTTATCAACGGGGTTTTGGGCACCTGGGTTTCAGACGTGCTTCATTCTTGCGGCAACCTAGCCGGCGATGAACAACGATCTGTAGCTCTGTGTCTTCCAATGTTGTTGGGGAGGGTTGGCCATATCACGCAGATCCAGCTGCATGGAAGTAAGCCTTGGCTCTTCCCTGCTGGGCCTCTGTCCACACGCCCTCGCCCGGTACTTGTGTTGATTTGGAATCGGTTCCCGTCCACCTTTGTTTATCCATGTGTCACCGGAGGAAGTATAGTCTACTCCATGTCTTTTTTTTTTGTGTAAGAATTTGCCCTACACGTTTCAGTCCTTTAATTTAATGGTCGGTTCATCACCCATTGAGCTATTTTGTGTTGATTTCAAGTTTGGCAGATTTGGGGCCTCACCACAGCGTGATTCAAAGGCCCGCGGATTGTGTGTGCCCTTTGGGGCGGTGGATGACCGGTGAAAAGGCTAGTACGGAAGCTGTTTCTGTCACCAGGGCGCCGGCACGGTTGTAGTGTTCAGTTTTTTTCAACGGCAACGTAGTGCGTACGTACGATAGGTATCGCATGGGGCAAGAAGAGCTGTTGTGGTACCCAAGAAGGAACGACGCCTTCATGTTTTCTGTGTAAACTCATTTCTTGTAGCGTTAGATAAGCTTCACGCGATGCAGCTTCGCGTTATTTTTGCAGCGGGCTCGGGATGTGGAGACGATGTATGCGTGGTCTGAATGAAGTACAAGAGGAACGACGAAGCCGCGCGCAAGACAACACGGATCACGCGCAGAAAATAGCATTCCAGAAATGGTAAATATCAATTATTTCGCCACGACGTCGTGAAGCTCTTAAGAAGGAAAAGCTGAAATCAAACCATTAGACTAGTCAGCATATCATCCCATTAGATTGCTATGTAGTCTTAAAGGTTGATGTCAGCTTCTACGCAAGTCGAAGTACTTCGTTTGAGTACTCTCAACTGATTGAACGGACTTTTCTTTCGGGTTGTTCACGTGGGAAAGAGGAGTGGCGGCCTATTCGGCTGCTGTCGGATTTCTTGCATTAATCGCCGAAGCGCACCAGAATTATTTCATTCCGAGTGGCCAATGGCGTGTCTCCTGGTGATGTGCATCGCACAGCAGTATGGTTGTATCGCCTAGAGTCTCTCGGTCGTGGGGGCGAATCTTCTGATGATCAAGCTTTTTTTATTGCGTTGGCGAGAGAATCGTCATTCCCCGAAATAAGCGGTGAACATTTTCGTCGTGTGTTTTTTTGTAAAAAATGTGGTGGGTACCGTTTTTCATCACGTTAGTTTGGCGTCAGGGATGACAACTTGTTCCTGCTTCCGATTCTCCAACTGAAAAGTCTTTTCAGTCCTGCCCCACACACACACATCAAAAGCGAGAGCACCTCTCGCTGGGAGACGTCCTTTGTTCCAATTGTTGTTGTTTTTCTCCACATCAAACTCGTGTCAGTTGCTAATCCCAAAATCTAGCAAAGACTCGGTCCGTGGTCACAAAAATGCTAGGGCCATCAGAAGACCAAAGAACACACACGCTATTAGCAAGGAAAGGGTACGCAAGCCCGAGGAGGTACACCTGCAATCCCTGCAGCACGTTTGCGTGCTCACAACTGAACTACACGCCCACACACTACAAATCGACGACACGTTGTTGATACATCCAAAAACCATCCCAACCATGACTTCCGTCGAACGAATCACAAATCGAGCTTAATACACCGCCGTCACACGCTCAACAACCGACCAACAATCAGGCCGGCCAGGAAAAAACCGCTCTTCTTGCCGAACGACACGCCACGGCACACGCCCATACCACAGAAACGGACAAACACGTCGCGAAAAACCACGACACGTGAAAACAATACCGTCACAGCCAACGAGGGGGGGGAGGCGTCGGGCGCAAAGGCGTCGGGAACACATTCCACGGCAACAGCGTCTGCCAAAACAGCTGCGCCAGCGGGGACGAAGGGCTCAGGTTCCCGTCCGCCGCTCCGCGTCCCCTTCCCCTCCCCTGCCGCCGCATTCTCGCTGCCGCATCCTGCCTACCGATCACTTGCATCGCCATCGCCAGCACCTCGTCCAAGACTTCCTGGCCGCCACCCCAGCCACGCTCGCCACCACCCCCCGGGACTACTCCCGGTGGCACACGCAACCGCACCCGCTCGTTCATGAAGTTCGGGCCCATCAGTCGCGGGTCCAGGATGTTAGCGTCTTGCGGGAGAAGCGCGAAGGACTCATCGAAGTCTGAGAGCGCTAGGTCGAGGTACTTTTGGATGGGAGACCCCTCGCCGTAGGCGCGTTGGACAACCTCCACCTCGGCTGCGCTGGGGCAAAAATCGGCGTAGATTATGCCCGCCTCCTCTGCCCCTGCGCCGGCTGCCTCTCGCGTCGCCGGCGTCGAGGGTAGACCCTGCAGTGCGATCCCTGTAGCAATGGCGGAGAGCAGGCGTCCGCGGACGCGGCGGGGTGCCAGTGAGCACACGGCCGCGGGAGTGCAAAGCGACAACGCGACAAGCTGCTTCGGCTTTGGGTGTGGTGAAATGGGATGGGTCGTCGTCAGGCAAGGGTTCCGTTAGGCCGCGGCAAGGTGAGCATTCGAGAAACGTTCAAAACCCTCCCTCGGAAAAGTCCAACCCAACAACAGAAACAGCAACGAAACAACACCAACAGCAGCAGCAGCAGCAACAACAACCACGACAACAGCAGCAGCAGCAACAACATGCACGGCAACACAATCATCATCAGCAACAACATGCACAGCAACACAATCATCAGCAGCTACAACAACAAACTAGACCCTGAATAATGCCAAATCCACTCTCGATGATCAACCAACCACACTTCAAGCGGAGCAAAAAACAGGCCAGGCCTCACCAGCTCCATCGTAAAGGAGCTCCTCCGCCCGCTCATGCTTCCAAAGCTCGCCGCCCCTCTGGGCAAATATTCTGCGGCGGGAAAATCGGCAGTCGCCATGCGCAAATAAGCACATCACCGCCAAACGCGGTAGACGGAGATTATGATCAGCTCGATCGCGTAGAGTTATGTTCAGCGACACGAGCCAGTGAGACTAAATTCACGTTTGGCTTTTGTGGATGCGCTCGACCTTGAACACAGGCCCATAACAAGCAACACGCAAGCAACGAGTGAGTTAAGCCAAAGTTCACGTGTGGCCTTGTGGCTGGGTTCTACCTTGAACCATAGACCACAATACACATCACGCAAGCAGGTGCAGCCGCGGTGCTTACACCACTACCAAGAGTCCCCTTGGTGCCCAAGGCAACATGTGGGATGAGAATGCTACGTAGAGACCTGGTCGAAACCCCAGGCCAAGCGGAAAAGGGGGACATATAGCACACTCGCAATTGTGTTGCTTACCTCGCGAGGTGAAGCAAGACATGTCCTGCCGGGAGCCGATCCTTCGCTCTTCCGAAGTGAGGATGCTGCATGACCGATTTCCAGTCGTGTGGGTAGGTTGTTGAACGAGGAGTCACTCCGCACCTGCCGTCATTCGTTCAGATAGGTGGCACAGTGGTCACATGACGCACCGGTTGCAACGCGCTCCGTGAAGACACTCGAGCGCCAATCCGGCGGAGCGCACTGAATCACCTCAGAGCGAATGCCGTCGTGTGACAGAGAAAGCTAAGCTTAGCGGAATGTGTAACTCAGCGGCCACCAAAAACGGCCGTAGTCTTTAGGAGGAGCATTCCTGTAGCGTGCTCCTCCATTCATTGTCCACCGACGCCAGGTGCCAGTGTAACGTTTACCAAGAACCAGAGCAGTCGCCAAGCGGACTCCCCACACTGCAATTGGTGCTCTCTCCTCTGACGCGACGACTACACCGTCTCACTTTTCCAGGAGAGGCTCCAGCATGATGGGGAAACGGAGCAGGGTCGACGCCATGGCTTCTCGGGCAGCGGTGGAATCTCCCGTGGTATCCAGCGTGGCGAGGCACACCGACATGCTGAGGCCCGGCAAGTCCTGGACGGTGACGCATACGCCTCCGTCTGGAGGGAGCACCGCAACAACAAAGGCGGCGGATAGGACAAGGATCAACAGGCGAGTTCGTGCGCACGCAAGGGAAATCGATCAGAGCACTCGAGTTGTTGGGTAAGAAACCAAGGCGCCCAAACGCGGCGTCTCGGAAGCGGGGGAACGCGCGTTCCTCCCGCGAAGTGGAAATGCTTTGCGACCACGGAGCGCTCAACAGTTTCAGCACAAAGCACGAACGCGTAACAGGTAACGCCAAGCAATCCAGACACAACAAGGAAAGAAAGGGCTAGCTAGCTCAATCCGTCCACACTCCATGCATACCCTCCGAATTCCTCCTTCGTTCTCTTCCTACTCCCCGGTACGTTATCCGACGACATCATCACCCATTGCAATAAATGCATACCAAAGCTGCAATGGTGGCAACTCACCTACATCCGCTCCAGACGCGAAAGCCTCCGCGGCGCGGGAAGGCGAGCGGCCGACGGGAAGCTTCGACCGATGGAGCTCTATCAGAAACTCGCCCTGGCGGCTGGCCAGAGCATGGCTGTCCAGAGCCAGCAAGCAGCCCATGGGGTCACCGAGCGGATCGAGCGACAGCAGCAGTCGGCACACTTCTAGCGCCGTGCGCGCCCCACCCACCATGCCTGCCATCTGAGCTCCGCATAGGCAAGAGAGAAGCGGGGTGTGTGTGTGAGAGAGGACCAGCTACCATGTGGGTGGGCAACACGGCCAAGGAGAACCAAGAATAAAATATTTTAACCCAGCTTCTGCTGAAAAATATGAATTATTTCTCCAAGCAGCTAAAACATAAAAAATAAGTGATAAAAATTCCATACTTAAATAAATAGAAAGAAGATCGTAGGACGAAATTAATAAGCATTAACTTAAAGCAATGCCAAGAACAAATACAAAAACCTCATAAGCCCTGAAACGAGCAGAAAACATGTAAGATTCGAAGGCAGCAGCGTAATCTCAGCAAGGAACACATCTGAACACTTCGAGTGCAGCAACAATCCACCCCAGGAATTCCTCGAGCCGCCTACAACCCCCGGTCGACGGCAACGAAAGAAATTCGCAGACGGTTCCATCCACAATGGGGCACAGCGCAAACACGTCGACAGGCACGTTCTGTCTTTGCTGGTTAATGTGCGAGTAAATTCGGTTGTGAAAGCCCGCTTATCCGCTGCGATCCCCTCTTGAAGGGGAATCAAGTGGACTTCGGGCGGTGAGCGAAGAACTGGAGAATGAAGATCCTCTGCTGCTCGGCGAAAGAAGCTACGTACGGGTTGGGATGCCTGCTGGCAGGCCCTCACTTGTTTGTATGCACCTCCCCCAGCTACGCCCAAAACCAGCCGCAATTCAGCAAGGGTGAGAGAGCCAAGAAAACGTGCCCGTACGGTGATACGGGCGTACATACGTTGCTGCTGTTGTCCCAAACAACAATCGCAACACCGCAGAAACCCGCCGAACGGTTGCTGCCAAGCCAGCGGCAATGGCCCTACATTCGCACGGATCCCGGCATTTTGCGAAACCCCTGATTTCCAAGGATGCGTCACGCCGTACGGACTGCTTTTCCGCACCTGCATGTGCCTGAACATCGCCGCGAAGTAGGTCTTGTTGACTTCGAGGGTGGCATCCAGGCGGCAAGCTCCGTCCACCGGCCTGAACGCCTCCATCGTAGCGCTTTCGAGGACATACAGGGAGCGCCCGACAAACTCGGACGCACGATCCATCTGCGGCGGTTGTGTGGGTAAGCACACGCACAACCGTACGGAAAGCGGGCGTTTCTCTTCCATACAGCCACAGGAATCTGGTGGCACGACATTGTAATCGTACTTCAGCGCCCTAACAAGCGTGTTGGATACATCGTATAGGTCGCGAGGGAGTGACACAGGGTGGGAATCAGGAAGTCATGATAGTCAACGCACGGGAGAGGGCGGGTGGGTTGGATGAATCTGGTCGAAAAGCTCCCTTGGATTTGGCCAAAACGCATACTGGTACATGCGTACACGTAGGAGCGAGCTCCGACAGGCATCAACTCAAAAGTGATTGGATGGAGCAACTGCGGACGGAAGACGTCAGCACTACGTGCGGTGGTGGGGCGGACGTGCTTACGGCGAAGGAATGTCAAAGCGTACGAACGCCCATCGGAAAAAAAAAAACGTAGATCCTTGTCAGCGTCAACGTCAACGCTTGCCTGCCCCGTGTGTGCAAACACCATTCCAAGCTGCAGGAGTGCGTCGGCATGGTAGGGTGCCCTAGACGCGAACGACGCCAGAAAATTGGGGTCGTGCATGCCCTGGATCGCCTCGAACTTTCGCTGCGAGCGAAACACGCAAGGTACGCAGCAAAAAAAACGAGGAAACAAGCCACGGGCAGTACGAGTCGCGCGGGACGGCAGGTAGGCCGCGGATGACGTCAAAACAACCGGAACATCACTCTCCTCGGAGAAGAGCCGCGAGAACGCCTTCGTGTGGGCGACGACGCACAAACACAGACGGAGGGATTCTCCCAGATGTTTTTGTCACTGACTCGCTAGAGAACTACAGGGGATGTACTGTAACATGTGTCTTACCATTGTATACGGATGTTTTCGTGCGTAACACCAGCTGGCATCACTGGAATCATTCAGTTTGTAGGCTGAAGCAGACCCCAAATAAGCCAAAGTATCCCGCCGCTTTTTCTTCCACTCACTGTTCAGACTTGAACACATCCCCTTCGACTGTGGTAATGCATACCTCAAACGGCTAGTTTTCTGTGTATACTCTCTAAAAACAAGGGAAGCAAAATAAAAGGCTTCATCTGTCCCACTCGGTCGTCGACCTCGTCACCTGCAGCTGCTCCAGAGAGCTCGACCTCTCGAACACAAACCACTCCGCCCCCTGGTGTGCGTCCAGCTGCCACTTCGGTAGGTACGCCGGAGCCCCGGCCTCGCACCTTTTCATCCCCAGACCACCGCCGACAAACGAAGGCGGTTTCGGCCAATCCTCCTTCGGAGCGCTCACAACCAGTCTCTTGAGCGTCAACGACGCCGACACGCTGTTGTTGTTCCCGCCGCGCCCGACCATCATTCCCCGCCTTGTCCTCCGAGCCCGCCCCCCCCCCCCCCCCCCCCCCCCCCCCCCCCCCCCCCCCCCCCCCCCCCCCCCCCCCCCCCCCCCC